TTGAAGGGAAGGAAAACAAAAGGGTCAAAGAAGGATATAAATCATAAGGAGGTGAAAGTTATCGGTGATTCTTTGACAAGGCATGTGAATAGGATACGCTGTGGGGTAAATAGGGAGAAAATAATTAGATTATGCTATACAGGGGCACAGGTGGAAGAAATAATTGACAGAACAAGAGATATATTAAAAGAGGCTAGCAACAATGGAGTTTTTGTTGTGTACATATACGTAGGGGCTAATGATGTAGAGAAATGTAAATCAGAGGAGCTAATTAATAAATACAAGGGATTGATAAAGGCATTTAAAGAAAAAGGTCATAACTTAATTTTGTCAGGGATACTGCCCAGAATTAATTGTGAGGAGAAGTTATAAGTAGCTCACTAGGGCTGAATACTAGGCTTAGGCTAGTATGTAAGGATGAGCAGATTGACTGGTTGGACTTGTGGGATTAGTTCAGTGGAAGAAGGGAGATTTTAGAAATAAATGGTTTACATTACATTAGTGTAGGATCTGGCTTGTTTGCAAGGGCTAGTAAATCAACTGTAAGGGAAAATTTAAATTTGGAATCAGTTGTAGTGAGGGCCAGGATAAACTAAATGCAAAAAAAAAAATAAGATGTAGAAAAACGTTTAGCATACAAAGTAGTTCTAAGGATAGTCTTAATTGTTATTATTGTAATGTTAGAAGTATAAGAAATATAACAGATGACTTTAGTGTACTGATAGGAATATATAAGATTTTGTTATAATAGGAATAACTGAAATATGGTTAATGTAGATGATTTTGATGACAGAAATTTCTTTGAAATACAGGGTTACAGGCTTTTTAATAGGAATAGAGTATTAAAGACGGGGAAAAGTGGCTTTTGCTGCATATGGAGATAAGGAATAATGATATTTTGGTTACAAGTTTCATAATAGTATATTTTGAAGGGATGTAACAAGCACTATCTGTTGTGAATTGGGCAGCTGAGTTATTTGGAGACACTGATAAAATGTGGAAATTTTTAAAATTATTTTAAAATATTTAAATTTTTAAATATTCAAGGTAAACACATTCCTTATAGAAAGAAAAGGGTAGCTGCAAGTAAAAAAAAACAGGTTTGCTCACAAAGCGTTTAAGAGATTAAATTAAACAAAACCATAATAAATTTAAGAAATTTAAATTGACTGGTATGACAGCAGATTTAGAAGATCATGAAAGTTGGTGAAACAGGAAATTAAAACTTCAGAAAGGATGTATGAGAAAAGGTTGGCTGAATATGTAAAATTAATAGTAAGGATTTCTTTAAATAAATTAAGGGTAAACAAAATGTTAGGATGGGGTAGGGCTCTTGAGGGGTGATAAAGAAGGCTAGTAGCTGATTATTATGAGATGTCTGCATTATTAAATTTTGCTTTTCTTCGATTTGTACTAACGAAGATTTAAGCAGTATTCCACATTTTGAATTGTTAATAGATGGAAGCAAGGTTGTACAATATTATTGCATTAATTCCGAGCCGGTTAAGAATACAATTGGGATGTTTAAAAAATGATATGGCTCCTGGACCAAATAACATTTCACCAAGGGTTTTGAAGGAGGTTAAGTATTGGATATATGAGCCACTTGCTACTATTTTTTGTAAGTCTTTGAATAGTGAGCAGGTGCCAAAGGATTGAAAGTTAGCTAATGTCACTCGTCATTTCAAGGGAGATAATAAACATTTTCCCAGTAACCATAGGCATATTGGTCTTACATCAGTTGTGAGAAAAGTTTTGGACAGTGTGATAAAAAATGCGTTGCAAAGTCATTTAACAAAGTTTAGAATTTTATTGGATAGTCAGCATAGTTTCACAAAGGGAAAATCTTCCCTTACAAATCTTTTGACATTCTTTGAAAATGTTATTGCTTATGTAGATGAAGGTAAGAGTGTAGATTTGGTGTATCTGGATTTTCAGAATGCCTTTGACAAAGCACCACATAATAGGCTTGTAAAAATGTTCTCTTTAGGTTTGGAGGATAAGTTAGCAAATTGGATAGAAGGGTGGTTGGATGGAAGAAAACAGAGAGTTGTTATGAATGGAGACTGGTATTTGAGATTATAAAGGGAATTGATAGTATTGATGCATCATCTTTTTTCATACTTAACGGCGAGAATAGTAGGACTAGGAGACACAAATATACATTTTGGCAGGGTAGGAGTCATCTTCAGCTAAGACACTTTTATTTTTCTAACAGGGTGATTGATCTCTAAAATGGGTTGCCTTTGGATGTTGTGGAAGCAGTAAGTTTAAGTGGGGTTAAGAGAAAGCTTGATCATTATATGAATGATAAGGGCTGGCTTTAAGATTTTAATTTATTTATTTGATAGTTTTAGTTTAGTTTAGAGGATTGGAACAGCCGAGATGGACCAGTAGATCCCTTGTTGTCCATAAACATTATGTTATGTTGTAGAACCAGTGTCGATCAACTTGCTGCAAGTCTTCCCATCAATAAAGCTGTTGACTGTTTTACATAATACACTCCTTATTCTATAGGGTAGGATGGAATATTCTTATCCTCATCATGTCATCTCCTTCCGTCATTACCAATGACTGATTCATCAGTCTCAGATGTAATATCCACTTCCAGACTTAAAGCAGATTACTTTTCCTTTCTAGCAGTATGTCTTCTCATCTTCTGTCTTCTCTCTATGCCTTTTAAGTTGCAATTGAAAGACTTCCTGTCGTGTGGTGTGCTTCTTACATTCTGAGTTATCTAAAGAATCGTTTGAATTATTTATACCTTTATCAGAAGAAAGTTATGTTTGTGTACTATGGGAATAGATACATCAAGGTTGTGATGGACTATTTCACCAAAGCAATGAGTATATTTCATCCAGTTTATTTTAACACTTGCATGAATAATCATGACATCAACAGGATTTCTTCTGGAGGGGATGGGGAATCGTTTCCGAAATTAGTAACACATGTAGGTCTACGTAAGCCGTGAGTCAGCAGCAGTCCAATACATAGTGCCAGATCTGCCAACATTCACCCACTGAGCGTCAGACTCATGTACCTGGGCATATTCTAATGCCGACACACATTAGTAAATAAATCTCACATTTTGGTCAAATTAGCATATAACGCATTGCAATTGGTTGACCAGTTGGATCCAGGTCAAATTCAGCATCACATCGATCCAGGAAATGCTCCAGATTGCACCATTATGCTTCCTTTAATTAATAAACAAAATTTCTGGGGATCATGCCCTTAAACCTTCTCTCTAGAAAGCGACCGCCATCGGTGTTTCTCGCATCACTTTGCCCCGCACTAGAGTTTTATTATTTCAGAAGTCTCACTGAAACAGAAGTTGGCTGCGCTGTCAGGTCCATTGCAATGTTTATGGTAGATTGGAGAAATAAATTCTAGCAAATGAAAGAGTTTGTGAATATCGGCAGATATTGCAGCACTAGATTTAATTTTTCGAAACCATCAAAATGCAGTTGAGGTTCAAATGGGGTGTCATTCACACCCACGACTACCACTGACGAAGCTCATGATATTAATTTCAACATAAGTTGTTCATCTTCGAGTTGCCGTCATATCACGTGAAGTTTAGTATGTGTTTGGTTCTCTCTCTCTTTATATATGTACATATATATATGTATATATATGTGTACACATATCAAAGAAAGCTTCATGAACAGAAATGTGCTCCTAACAAAACTTTGGCGAAGTCCATGCACATGTCCTTACAAATTTAATATATAGCCCGTATTAACTGTGTTTTTAACTATTCTTTAAGTTGACAAATTTAAATGCTATTAGTTTATTCAGAAATGACATGTGGGATTTAGATTCTTAAGCACATAGCTACACAATCGGCTATCAGTACTCTGCCATCGCGAGTACCAAAGCCCGAGTTTTAGCGCCATCAGCCCTGAGACTTGTGCTGAGTCACTGGGGGTCTTAAGGAGGTTCAAAGACCACTAAGCCCCATGAATTTCCTAGATTATTTAAAAGTTGAAATGCAATAATATGTGGCCTAAAACTGGATTATATTGTAGCTTTACAGCACACACGGTAAGAGTGTAGATCTAGTTATTTAGTGTGAGGTTTTAATTTTCTTGAAGGTGGAGTTTCCCCCTCCTATTTCTCAAAATTGGCTTCCTTGGGTTAAGAGTTCTATTGTTGAGCTTAGAGAACTGTATGATTGAGAAATGCCTTAAAGTTTAATGGAATGCCATATAAACCAGTTAATTTTCGTATATATATATATATATGTCTATATAACTGTTACTTTAAATCAAACACACGCTATAATTCACAACGATTCACGCACTTTACTTACGGTCACTACCACTCACTTGACTCAATTATCTGTCTCTATATCTCTCTTCAATCTGCTATCTGCAATTATATCTCCGCTTTATTTGCCGGGCTTATATACAAAAAAAGAGGGCGTCTGGCAAACACTAGAGTTGCCAGGAACAGTCATGATCCTTCTAGAAACTCATGACGTGTTACCAGCGTCACATGGCTTCCGCTGTCGTAACAAACGGAATGCCATATAAACCAGTTAATTTTCTTATATATTATATATATATATATATATATATATATACAACTGTTACTTTGAATGCACCTTTTATTTTCTTATAATCAAACTAACAATCTTACATAAATGGTGCATTTTTAAAATTTAATTTGTCAATCCTATTAAAGTTGCATTTTACTATTACGTAATTGACAATCCTTATAGACGATAAAACTTCGTGTGGTTGGAAAGGCATTCCATCATAAATTTTTGTTTGTTTCTGCTACTTTTTCTTTTCCAACTGCCCCACAGTGGCACAGCGATATATCTGCGGACTTAAAACGCTAGAAACCGGGTTTCGATACCCATTGTGTAGCTTTGTGCTTAAATACAAACAAACAAAGTTTTCCAATTTGCAACCACCCGTTTCACTTGAGAATACGTTTACATCTTCATCCACGTCTATATTTCAGCTTCTTGCATTCCGTGCTTCTTTACCACTTCACCACCCCCACATTTAATGGATAAAGCCTGTTTCCCGTAGCCTATGACATAAGACTCAAAGATAACTTGGTCTCACAAAAACCTTGTACTCGTGGACTTGCAAGTGGCTGCGCGTGATCTAGTTACATCACTAATTCTCAATTAAGGCTTATTACTCATTATAAGGAAAATAAATCCACTTTTTGTCAACTCGGAAAATATTTGAAGAAACTTCCATCGTTAGCTCGCTAGCCTAAGTTACACCTAACCGTTCTTCATCTGTAGTCAGCTTTTGAAACGCTGGTAAGTTTTTTGTTTTAGGTGTTCAGTATATGAATTTTAAACCCAGAAATTACTGTGTAATACATCTAACCTTGTGAATTACAGCTCTGAGTATTAAGTACCACGACTAGACCAGTATGGGTGGGGTTTACATGCATTTACTAGTTTCCAAGGCAACAGCGGCGCCTCAGTGATCGCGGCGGGTCGAAATAAATTCCATGGTTGTCTGTTAGTGTTAGTAAGAAGATGTTTCGCGTCTTAGCAGACTTTCCCGGGACCCCCTTACTGCTATAAAATCTTACTATTTTGGTTTGAATAGGACGGTGAGAATTTGTTTTTTTCTACAACCTCAATATCTTATTGAATTTTATTGATTCATTTTTATACTTATAGTACAATAGAACAGACATCAGAAAGTAAGCTTCTTATTCGTACAGTCTTAGGCCTATTGAAGTTGTATTTTAATGTCTAGTTTTACATATACTATACCACATGTGGGTTAGTACTTCATATGTCAAAGGTTGCTGTAACTACCATAGTGGCATGTTCCCATACAATTACAAAATATTATCTCAGGTGTTAAAGATCAGTAAGGTACACTAAATAATTACTTTCTGAGATGAATGTCATGGTGTAGATTCCTTGAACTAATGCCTATGGCAGTGCTACTAACCTTTTACTGTTTTAGTTTTACAGCATGCAGTACAGAGCATTTTGTAAGGAAATTCTACTGGGCGACAAAGGGTAGCCATTTACTGTTTACAAGTATGAAATGCATTATACGGTAGAGAAAAAGTCGTGATTTATCAAAAAATATATGTTTTTGTAGTATCTGTAAAAGTAATTTTGGTTTTATAGTAAAAGTTTAAAAAAATTCATTGTCACACAGTTAAAAATGCTCTGATGTAATGGTGAGGAGCTTTAGAAGTAAATGCAGTGGTGTTGAGCCATGTGAAGACATGAATAATTATATAGTATGTGAATCAATAAAAGAATATATATATATCATAATATGGATCAGCAAAGGAATATGAAGTAAATTTGACCTGTAAAATATTATTGTGAAATATTACTTAAAGAAGTAGGTCTGTAAATAAACATTTCTTACTGTGAATTTGTAAACAATATCAAATGGCTAAAAAGCTGTAAAAGTATTTAGTTTTAGTATTATGTAATTGTAAAATAATGTACTCTGGTGTGAATTTAAAAAAAGTTGAATTGTATAGAACTGTAAAACAACATTGATGTGAAACTGAAATAATATTTTCGGGTATCAAGCTATGAAATAATATCTTATGGTATGAAGTTATCAAAACATATCTCATGGCAGTAAGCTGTAAAAAAAGTTTCATAGAATGTAGCTGTAAAATAATACATAGTGATGTATGGCTGTAAAAATATTTATTAGACTGAAGTTGTGAAAAAAAATATTGTGTGGTGGGAAGCTGTAAGATTTTTTGAATTTTTTTGATCAGTAAAATAATGTCAAATTCATTGTAGGTGTGAAAAGATAGATAGCGGTTATGAACTGTGAAATAATATCTGTAGATGACTGGCTGTAAAAAGTGTTTAGTAGTTTGGATCTATAAAATGACATCTAGTTGGGTATGGCTGTATTCTGAATTTGTTTATTCTGTCACGTAGCTATGTAATAGGCTATCCACAGAAGGAATTGAATCTAAGATTTTAGTGCATAAGTCTGTAGTATTACAGATAACCTACTGGTGGACAGTAATCTGAAGTGGTGAAAAATTACCATATGTTGGTAAGCTGTAAAATATGTTTGGTAGTTAAGATAATGGGTGTCAGCCTTAAAATATCTAGTGGTGTATAGCTGTAAAATAATAGATAGTGGTGTATAGCTGTAAAATAATAGATAGTGGTGTATAGCTGTAAAATAATAGATAGTGGTGTATAGCTGTA